TACATTAGTGGAAGTTACAAAATCATCGCAAAGCTATTATGTGAATTATTGGCGAGCGGAAGCGAGCTAACCTAGTGGTCCGAACGGCGCGATTTTTCTATATAATATATATATGTACCCGTACGTCGTCCAACTGCGCATGCTCCAGCATTACGCGCTTCTTTTTATCCGAAAGGGATTTCAACATTTTCATAATGCTGCCTGAATCGAGCGGAATCAGGGGAAACGCAACCCCTCCGAAGCTATCGAGTATTGCTGCACAGTCCAGCGAGAGATTTTTCTACATTGCCACTTGTTCCCTATTCCTGCAAGACCAATCAGATTGCCGGATTATGCCTGATTCGCGCTGTCGACTGACTGTTTTTGACTCGACTCGAATTGTCTACTGCGCTAGGGTCGTTTCGGCCTACTTGGTCCTGTGCAATGTATCTCACTGTTTTGTGCACACACAAGAGTGACTCATACGATTAGACCCCAATTGTAAGCGCGCTTCCGTTCGCCAAAAATGCCATGCATCGCCTACTAGTAATTGCCGAGCGCGTTAGCGTTAGGCGATATGCGTATATATACGTACGTACGTGTCGTCACGCTTAAGAATGTAAATTATTCACGCTTAGGAAGTGTAACTTCCGTTATTCGTAGGAAGTCTAGCTTCCGCCGTGCGCGCAGATTCGTAGCTAGGCGGAAGTCTGGCTTCGCGCGCGCAGTCAGTATAATTATAGAGCGCGCGCACGAGCGGCCTCAGTCGGATCGGACTCGACTGTTTTTACGCATATTTGGCTGGCAGGCGCGAGGCAAAATATGCGCGTGCGCATTCCTAGTTATAAATTATACAGCAGTGTAAGGAGTGGGGTGGCTGTTTTGACAAGTGGGAAAATGACATTGTCAAAAATAAAGGGGATATAGGGATGGCTCAAAGCACCAAAAAGGAAAGAACAAGGGGGTCATTTCACAGCTAAGACACACAAATCAACATGACACTATCCCTCTATATTTGTCTGATCGTACTTCCCTAATAGAACAAAGATAGTGTCATGTTGATTTGTGTTTCTTAGCTGTGAAATGACCCCTTGTTCTTTTTTTTTGGTGCTTTGAACCATCCCTATATCCCCCTTCATTTTAAAGAATGGTTTTCCCACTTGTTTCCATTACTTTTTTTATGAACCGCTCTGACTACGTAGCATTATTTTACTCTTATGCGCATGGCGAGCTGATTCAACTTTCACTGCCTGAGTAGAGTACCATGAACTAGCTTTTGTATAAGAACAAAATGAAGTTGAGTATATAGGCAGGAACACTGACACACCACAATTTCAGTCACGAATTCGGCTTCTGCGCCGGATCGGCGTTTTTCAGCAAATCCTGCACGCATGCGTAATACTGCCCAAATGGACACACCTCTTTCATCCCGCGCACGCGCGCTGTGGCGATCTTTCTTTCTCTACAGACCAACGCACAGCCTCTCAGTCTGTTCCTGCCTTTCAGGCTGCTGAGATATTTATGACGTGTCTCACTCAATTAGGACCTTTTTGCTTTTTTAGAGTACTGAAAGGGTAGGAGGAATAATTATTATGATGATGACGACGAAAATTCCTGTATGAGCGAATTCTCCGTAGAAAAAGTGAGCGCATCAGTAAGCTATAAGGTCTTCTGAGCATATTGCTATAGCAATTTTGTAGAACTTTGCTACTGATGCGCACTCATTTTAGCTACAATACGCGCATACAGGAATTTTCGTCGTCATCATCATAATAATTATTCCTCCTACCCTTTCAGTACTCTAAAAAAGCAAAAAGGTCCTAATTGAGTGAGACACGTCATAAATATCTCAGCAGCCTGAAAGGCAGGAACAGACTGAGAGGCTGTGCGTTGGTCTGTAGAGAAAGAAAGATCGCCACAGCGCGCGTGCGCGGGATGAAAGAGGTGTGTCCATTTGGGCAGTATTACGCATGCGTGCAGGATTTGCTGAAAAACGCCGATCCGGCGCAGAAGCCGAATTCGTGACTGAAATTGTGGTGTGTCAGTGTTCCTGCCTATATACTCAACTTCATTTTGTTCTTATACAAAAGCTAGTTCATGGTACTCTACTCAGGCAGTGAAAGTTGAATCAGCTCGCCATGCGCATAAGAGTAAAATAATGCTACGTAGTCAGAGCGGTTCATAAAAAAAGTAATGGAAACAAGTGGGAAAACCATTTCTTTAAAATGAAGGGGGATATAGGGATGGTTCAAAGCACCAAAAAAAAAGAACAAGGGGTCATTTCACAGCTAAGAAACACAAATCAACATGACACTATCTTTGTTCTATTAGGGAAGTACGATCAGACAAATATAGAGGGATAGTGTCATGTTGATTTGTGTGTCTTAGCTGTGAAATGACCCCTTGTTCTTTCCTTTTTGGTGCTTTGAGCCATCCCTATATCCCCTTTATTTTTGACAATGTCATTTTCCCACTTGTCAAAACAGCCACCCCACTCCTTACACTGCTGTATAATTTATAACTAGGAATGCGCACGCGCATATTTTGCCTCGCGCCTGCCAGCCAAATATGCGTAAAAACAGTCGAGTCCGATCCGACTGAGGCCGCTCGTGCGCGCGCTCTATAATTATACTGACTGCGCGCGCGAAGCCAGACTTCCGCCTAGCTACGAATCTGCGCGCACGGCGGAAGCTAGACTTCCTACGAATAACGGAAGTTACACTTCCTAAGCGTGAATAATTTACATTCTTAAGCGTGACGACACGTACGTACGTATATATACGCATATCGCCTAACGCTAACGCGCTCGGCAATTACTAGTAGGCGATGCATGGCATTTTTGGCGAGCGGAAGCGCGCTTACAATTGGGGTCTAATCGTATGAGTCACTCTTGTGTGTGCACAAAACAGTGAGATACATTGCACAGGACCAAGTAGGCCGAAACGACCCGAGCGCAGTAGACAATTCGAGTCGAGTCAAAAACAGTCAGTCGACAGCGCGAATCAGGCATAATCCGGCAATCTGATTGGTCTTGCAGGAATAGGGAACAAGTGGCAATGTAGAAAAATCTCTCGCTGGACTGTGCAGCAATACTCGATAGCTTCGGAGGGTGTTGCGTTTCCCCTGATTCCGCTCGATTCAGGCAGCATTATGAAAATGTTGAAATCCCTTTCGGATAAAAAGAAGCGCGTAATGCTGGAGCATGCGCAGTTGGACGACGTACGGGTACATATATATATTATATAGAAAAATCGCGCCGTTCGGACCACTAGGTTAGCTCGCTTCCGCTCGCCAATAATTCACATAATAGCTTTGCGATGATTTTGTAACTTCCACTAATGCACATCTGCATCAGAAATGTTGAGTTGTTCAAGTTGTCCCAACACTGAGACCATAGTTGGTCTATCTACAGGGCTCTCTCTAGTACAGCTGCACACCAGAGGGTAGGCCCTGGGCCAAACAACTTTGACTGTGTCCAGCATTGCAGGGAGCTCCTCAACACTCGGAAACTGACAGAGGAGTACTTCGGCCAACAATACGCCAAAACTGTACACATCAACCTTTGGTGTTTGTGGTATGCCACTCTCTGCAGTTCTCACCTCAGGAGCAGCATATACAATGGCACCCGGACCTACGGTGGAACACTGGCGCATGAGATTAGCAGATCCAAAATCAGACAGTTTCGCCCTCCACAGTTCACTCGACTTCTTTTCGAGCAAAATGTTGGCCGAGCTCACGTCTCTGTGGATGATAGTGGGGCGTTGCAAGTGTAGGTAGTTGAGGGCTGATGCCACGTCCCTGAAGACACTGACAATATTCGACTGTTGAAGCTGACCTAATTCGTACGATCGTCTAAGAGTTGTGTCGAGACGCTCAGTGATGATGAGAGGACCTGAGGGATTGTCCAGAACAACGGCTATGAACAAGAGGAGGTGGGGGTGCCGCAGTTGGGCCATTATTTCGACCTCTCGTCGGACGATCTGGAGGAAGTGGGGCTGTTGTATGATACTGTGGAGACACTTGACGGCCACACTCTGCCCCCTGAAGGCTCCCTCCACCACGTAGCCCCAGGCCCCGGTCCCCAGTATCTCCATCTTGTTGAGCGTAACCTCCTCCTTCTCCACCTCCCACCACGGTGACACCTGGAGAGCCCTCTCCTTCTCTGCCCGCAGCTCTGCTACTTGCCTCTCCAGATTTCTGTTCATTTCCTCCAGTCTCCCGCAGTGAGCTTCTTTCTCTGATAGCGTTTGCTGGAGCTCCCGCAGAAGATGGTTCTTCTCTGCCAACTCCTCTTCTTGCTCTTCGACTCTCTTCCTCAAGATCTGAGATTTCGTTTGCTCATGTTCGAGCTGGTTCTGTAGCTCATCGACCTGCTTTACAGACGCTTCCTGCAGCTGCTCCTTTGCTTCTTCTGTTTTCTTCTTGGAGTGCCAGGGAACACGGATGTGGATTGGGAGCGAGGCAAACACTGATGAAGAAGGAGATGGTGGAGCAATGTCTTCACTGTCCACATCCTCTTCCCCGCCCTATGTGGAGCAGGAAGCTATCAACACACCTAAAACTTATGGAGTTGCTTACTGGTAATGGTACGGTGTTTGCTCGACCACGTTTAAACCTAGTGGTGACTTTCTTGAGTAGGGGCAGCTGCACAGAGAATCTTGTGGACCTCCTGGGGAGCTGTGTGTGTGTGTATATGTGTACAGAGTATACATCCAGAAGAACAGTGCTATCATATCGAGTTACAATGACATCAGTGTTTACTACAATGGGATCCTCTAAAAAAGACCTTCCCTTCAGAGGTTATATTAGTAATACAAGCCCCACTCCATTCAGAGGTTAATTACATAAGGGCTTGTCAAAGAAGAGACTTGGCTGAGCCTTCCCCACACATGCACATATGCAATGACACATACTGTACATTAGTCAGAGAGAAAGTTCCCTGCAGTGGTTTTAACACCAACATGACAAAAAACGTGATGGATGTTCATACCTGTTCAGTGGGATGGTGGTGGTGGTAAAACAGCACAGCCCTCTCTGCCAGGGCCAAAAACATCATCATTCACACCAAACCCAGTCAATGGCACTGACTTCGAAGTAGAGAGCGTCGAGGTTTTGCACCAGCCCTCCGCTCGCCGTTTCAGAAGATACGTCCTCACGGAGGGATGTCGGTCCCCATGTTCCCTCCCACCACCAGAGGTAAGGTCCTCCTTGCTCACAACACTTGCCACACATCTGTGCAGCTTGTCGAACAATGCACGCAAAAACGAGACATTGAGGAGCCTTCGATTACTATGTTACGGTTACGGGAAAAGGACGTCGAAAACGAGCAGCGATTCCCTTAAGTCCGCTCCAAAATGGCACCGCAGGTCTCCAACAGCGTCGCAGTTTGGGCACGTCCCCATAGCTCGTACGAGTATTCCTGGCCAATGACAGATATGAACTTTTGACGAAAGTCGATGCCGAGAGCTGATTGCTAAACTGCCAGAGAATTTTCCGTCCCCGTAGCGCCTGATGATGCTAGATTTGCCTGTTGTTAGTCTCAAGTCTCCGCAGCACAGTGCAACCTTCACTACCACCGCCGAGCACGTCGCTCATTTGGACCCGGAAACACTCAAAAGCCAGAGCGGATTCGCTCATGCGCAATGTCGAGGAAACAAGGTCAAGCCTGCGCAACACTCTACACTAAAGCAGCACCGTACAGCGATGACAACGGCGAGCGTGTTCTTCTCCGTCTATACGGCGATCTAGCGGTAGACAGGCTTTCCCAAAGCCTATCGTATTGGAGGAGATGACGCTGAGACGAAGGAGCCCGATACCGAGCTGGAAGTGCACTACAAACGTTGGCTACCAGAAGATGACGGCAGTACGACGACGCTTCACCGACGGTGTTACCAAGGGGGCATGCCGGACAGGCAATGAAGGCGCGCGAGTTGATGGAGAACGCCGGCTGGTGGTGGAATAATGGGGAGATGGTCTGTCCCGGAACTCATAGTGGCGGATACTCAACCGTAAACGAAGCAGGCCTTCATTAAGGCGAAACAAGTAAAGGAGATTGCACGGGAGGACGTTCCATTATCTGAGGCATGGGTAAGATCCAACACAAACAGGAGAGAACATCGCAATTTCTACACAGTTTATAGGGAAAGGGGATCCAGAGGCCGCTGAGTTTCATCTACAGGAAGGCAATAGCAAAAAGTGTTCAAAATGTCCAGAACTATTTGGGAGGTGGACTGAGGAGATGTACAGGGAACTGATGATGCTGCAGCGAAGGTTCAATCCCGGGAACAAGATGGTCCGATATTGGGCGTACACTGGGAAAACCAGGCCGTAGAGCCGTACTCGAGCAGAAAGCAGTGGGATTCCGGACCCCTCATAACCCCTAGAAAGGAGGCGGCGATGGAAGCTAAGAATGAAGAACACAAGACTTTTTGACGATAAGATGGCCCACACTTCGACATGAAACTGGTGGAGAAGGTGATTATCTCTTCCCCTAGTGATTCAAGGCTGGAGAGACGTAGCCGCCTCAAATTCTGGACCCACCACCCGATGAAAGTGCAGTGGGCACCAGAAATGAAGTGTTTCGAGTCTCTCGGGAAGAGGAGTCCAGAGTCAGGCGTGAAATGGCCAAAGGCCGGACGACCTGAAGTTGATCTGTGTCCGGCGTCGATGAGGGGGTGGAGGGGGAATAGGAGGAGGTTGACTGGAGGGAAGAAGACTGGATGGCGAAGGGATGGCCCAGCCGCACACAAGGCGCTCACGTACCTCTTATGAAATGGGGAGCTGTTTGACGTATGGACGGTACCCCACTACAACGTACAAGACACAAACAACTGCAAGAGAACCTGGGAGTACCACTCATGTCGAATAGGTCCCCCACAACGGACTGAAATAAATACTTCAGCAATCATTCACCTTCCACCATTGACAAATAGTTGTGTATATACAATGAACTATGTTTTGTTTATACCCCATTCACTACAATGGATATCCGTGGTTCGTGAAGCATATAGAGCCAGACGGAGCTCATGAAAGCTTAGCCTCAGTTGTGTAATTCTGACCATATTTCAAACTGACACGGAAACATGGGAAAGATATGTTTAGCCGTCAGTTTGGCCTGATGTCCATATACAAACAAAAAAACAAACCAGTGAGAGCTATGATGCCCTACTACCAACAGCATACACCCTTTACTCAAATTTATACACAAAAATCCTACATGCTGGGCTCTCAGCCTAAGCCACACCAGTCAACACTACAGTAAGATCACGGAATCAGTCTTGTAGTAAGAGTGCATCAAGCATGACTGCAGTTAGTAATGCCGCTACGGTGGTATAGTTGCTCTCAGTACTACGGCTAGCATTATGGATATTTTGAGCTTCTGCTCCTTCCAATGCAGCAGGCTGAAAGTAAGTTAATTTGCTCTAACCCTATACTGTGGTTTAGGTAGTATGACTAAGTTCATGCTTCTCCAGAATGTGAAGCTGTGACTACTCTCCTTGCTGCAACCGATCCGGAAGCCTCCCAGTGATCATTCCATGCAATGCACTCCTACCACTAAATGAGCTGACTGGAGAGCTAAGATACATATCAGCCTGCAGTGTGCTGTGCTCAGACTACACAAGGACTAGAGATTGAACTCAAGATACATTGGATGACAGCAAAAACGGCAAGACGAATCCTGAAAAGTCTGAAAGAGGCTTTTACCCAGCTTCCTCCTAACTGAATCAGATGGTCAGGGGCACCATCATAGACCAGTCAGAGGTACCATCAGTAAGCGACTTCAAAAGATGCGGGGCATCCACCACCTAACAGGACCCAGCGACTGGAGGCAAGCGCGCCACACATGAACAACTGAAGGAAACAACGCCACGACGCCTGAGGGGGGAGGGGGGTCAAAGAAAGTGAAAACGA